AATGAAGCATGCACCAGGAGCGATCCCCACCCTTCTGACATACAGGAGCAGGAGGTAAAACTTGGTTGCTGTGATCAACTGAGGTTTGAGGTTTACGTTTACAGAGGGATAAACCCAGCTGCTCTCTGAGGTTGGCACTTCTCTGCTTGAATATTGTTTAATTCCATGTGTCACTGATATTTGTGAGAAGGACAAGAATATACCACTCCAACTTTGCTGGTTTGGCGTAAGAACCAACAAAGGCAGAAGCTAAAATGATTATGCAAAAGAGGTCCTCCTTACTCTGGCGGAAAGCACAACCCTATCCCCAAAGATAGGAAGTCAGCAGTCCTGGTAGAATTCTGAAGATATCCTGTTCAAACAATTCACAGGTTTGCCTGCACATGAAATTTATGTGGGAGCACCGGACAGAAATCTCAAGGTCCAAATCAGGAGCAGAAGGAGACGGAGCACGAGCAAGGAACTCAGGACCACGAGGGGTGCACCCACACACTAAGACAATGGGGATGTTCTATCGGGAACTCACCAAGGCCAGCTGGCCTAGGTCTGAAAAAGCATGGGATAAATCCGGACTAGCTGAACATAGCGGACAATGAGGAATACTGAGAACTCAAGAGCAATCGCAGTGGGTTTTTGATCCTACTGCACGTACTGGCTTTGTGGGAGCCTAGGCAGTGTGGATGCTCACCTTACTAGACCTGGATAGAGGTGGGCGATCCTTGGGCTTCCCACAGGTCAGGGAACCCTGATTGCTCTTCGAGCAGATGAGGGAGGGGGACTTGATCGGGGGGGAGGGGGAGGGAAATGGGAAGCGGTTGCGGGGAGGAGGCAGAAATCCCTAATAAATAAATAAATTAAAAAAAAATAAAATAAAAAAAAAGAGGAAAAAAAAAGCTGACACCGGCACAGCAGGAAAGGTACGTTATGACGAAAATCAGTATTTTCGCGAAAACGCGACACTCTGGGACTTTTCAAAGCAGGAACTCAGGCTCTGGAAAGGCTGGGTTCTTTTCTTGTGCCGCTGCCCTGCAATTCGGATCGCTGCTTCAACTCCAAAGCCACTGCCCTGCAACGGTTCCAGGCGCCTGATGTAAGCGGAGACCCGCATTAGCACATTTTACGCAGGCGCACCGCTTGCGGAAGTCTGTCGAGCTTCTCCTGCTACTCCATTGGCTAACGGGTTTATGCACGTGCAAAAAAAAAAAAATAATAACCCAATTCCTTTCCCCACTTAGGAGGCTGGCTCTTCACCGAGGGGTGGGGGTGGGGGGAAATCTACGCGCTGGAATATCCGGGGCGGAGTCTTGGGCGGGGCAAGGGCGGGGCCTAGCAGTCCTGACTTAGGAGATAGTGCAGCCCTCCCGGACTGGGCTACGAGGTTGAGTATTATTACCGACTGAGGCTTCCCGAAGCCCGGAGCATAAGGGGACCGAGGAAACCATGAGTGCGGTGGACCTTAGTCGCGTGGGCGCGTGTGTCTTGAAGCATGCAGTGACCGGGGAGGTGAGGCCTGCCCGGCGCAGGGCAGAGAACGTATCCCAGCACCCGCCCCGGTGCCCTGCCAACTCACATGGGCTAGAGTGGAGGTTCAGAGCGGTCCCATGGGTTCGCATGCTGGGCGTGGATATTGCCGCAGTAGGAACAGTGGGGCTGAGAATCATGGAGCAGCACGCTGCGGGACGTGTGGGGCTGTAGGACCTACGGCTACGATGAGCCCACGCCCCCTGACAGCTTTATTCTGCAGGCTGTGGAGCTGCGGAGCCTTTGGCAGGATAAAGCTTGTGTGGTGGCCGGTCTGCGACGCTTTGGCTGCATGGTGTGCCGTTGGATCGCTCAGGACCTCAGCAACCTCCGGAGCTTTCTGGACCAACACGACGTGCGCCTAGTAGGCGTGGGGCCTGAGGCCCTGGGCCTGCAGGAATTCCTGGATGGTGGCTATTTCTCAGGAGGTGCGACTCTTCCCGGACTCGGAACCTTGGCTGGCCTCTCCGCCAAGCCCTGTCCAGTCCACCCCTTTCCAGGCCAAGCAGGAACATACTCATGTGTCAGCACTTCAACTCTCCCAAGCGCAATCTCCAGCCTGTGCACTGGTTGCCTAGGCCCAGTGGCAAAGTCCCAGGGACTTGCCCTTCCCGTTTAAGCAGTGCTGACATTCAATCCCACCTTGCTCCTCTTGGCTTGGTTGGGTTGAAATGGACACCGTGAGTGGAGGGGACAGACGGCGGAGGCCTGGGGCACATACCTGTGGTTTTCCCTTTTTAGAACTCTATCTCGATGAGAGCAAGCAGTTCTACAAGGAGCTGGGCTTCAAGCGGTAAGTGTGACTGTGTGGGACTAGCCAGGGACAGGAGGATAGAGTGGCCGCTGCTGTTATGCATCTTCTTGCTACCACCCTCTGCTGTTCAGTTGGTGCCATGGAAACGGACTCTGGTGGCCTGGGCAGTTTCAGCCAAGCCCTCTTCTGGGGTCTTCTTATGGGTGTTGGCCCAAGTCAGGCCTACCCTCTGCAGTTTCACAAACAGGAGGGAATCTTGGAGCCCAGTGCCTTAGCAATGGCCCAGTTCAGTCCTCTGTTGCCACAGGCTGCCTGTTGTGATTGGCAGTGCCAGCTAAGCCAGATCCCGGGGCACACCCAGCTTGGAGTTCAGTCCCCACATTCCAGCCCCTCTCCGGGGCCTCAGGCCAGCGGTATCCAACCTGGGGCTCCCTATGCTTCTATAGATGCTCCGGGTTCAGGTGGAGGCCCTGGGTTCAGGTGGAGGCCCCGGTAAGAGAAGTGGGTGAGGCAGGACACTGGGGACAGATGTGTGTGCTTGTGCTCATCCAGCATCTGAACTCGGGACCTTGTTTCTTTGTAGGTACAACAGCTTGAGCATCCTGCCGGCTGCCCTGGGGAAACCTGTGCGTGATGTGGCCTCCAAGGTCTGTGGCGGCCAAGAGCATGGTGGGAGTCCCTGGAGACTTTGCTATGGGGCTGACCCGGGTCCTGTTCCTGTCTTTCTAGGCTAAGGCTGTTGGCATCCAGGGGAACCTGTCTGGTGACCTCTTGCAGAGTGGAGGCCTGCTGGTGGTCAGCAAGGGTGGGTCAGGGCAGGGCATACGGCTCCATCCTGCCCTTCTTGGTGGTTCATGTCTTCATGGCGCCCACCCCTTAAACCGTCTTGGGTGCTTGGGTGGGAGGTTGGGCTGTTTGGCTTGGTTAGTGGAGTCCCCTCTTCTTCCTGTCACATGAGTGTAAGATACAACTTGACCGCCTGCCTGTGGCTGCAGGTGGTGACAAAGTACTGCTACACTTCATCCAGAAGTCCCCAGGTGACTATGTTCCCCAGGAGGACGTCCTGCAGGCCTTGGGTATCTCTGCAGAGGTTTCCTCCAGCAAACCACCCCAGGTGAGTAGAGGCCTTGGGGGACATTGCTTGTTATCCAGCCCCTAGCGTGTGTGTGTGTATGTATATATGTGTGTGCGCGTGTGTGTATGTATATATATGTGTGTGTATATATATGTGTATATCCATCCCTTTGGGACACACACACACACACACACACACACATCTATCCCTTTGGGACAGTGGTTGGCATGGTTAGGAACTGAGCTACAGCCTCTTGGGATTTACCTAATTTTGTGTGTGTTGGCAGCCTTGGGATGTAGATGTGTCTCTATTACTCTACTTGTAGAGGGGAATAAGCTGAAAGGGATGGAAGAGCAGTGAGGACCGTGGTCAGGCATAGCAGGGTCCCGCTGTGGGCAGGAGCTGTGGGTTAAGGAGGGCTGGGCTCTGTGTCTCTGTCTGGCCTTTGTGGTTCTGCCCCCTATGCTCCATGTGTAATGGAGGATTGCACTGATTAGACTGCTTCCTGTGTCCAGCACGCCTCCTTCTTGGCCTCTGAGGAGTGTGACCGGACTGACAGGGCCCCCGTTTCCCCTACAGTGTGACGAAGAGGTGTGTGGGAGGTGATGCCTGGCCTCTGAGGACTTGGAGGCGTCTGCAACCTTGGATGTAGCTGGAGTAGAAGGAATTGCTGTGGAGCCATTGGGACATGATACTGGACATTGTCTCCTCCTTGAATGGCAATGAGCCATTAAAGTGCAGGTCCCCGGCAGTGAGTGTCCCCACTGCTTCCACACTCTGCATTCTCTGGTTCCTACTGTTGTCCCTACCGGCAGGAGGGACTCGAAGTGTAATCTTCCAGAGGACAGACTTCAGGTTTTGGTTGTGGGACCCTGGGGACAACAGTGTCATTTCCTTACAAGGTCGCCCTGACACTGTTCTCACTCCGTGGGAGGATGCAGAGAGGAGGGTTTGTTGGACTCAGCTCCCAGCTGGAGCCCAGCTGTGGGGAATGGGAGGCAGTTGTCTGCTTGTGTTTGTGGTGGAGGGTGGAGGCTAATGGGACTCAGGGAAGAGGTGGCAGACAAAGACTGAGGGACCATTTCCGGAGCTGGAAACCCTTTCCGGATCTGTCCTGGAAGAAGCCTGGGTCTGGCTAAGCATGTCTGTTTCCCCGGGGTCCTAAGGTCTGAGCAGAACTCCAGACACCCCACCATTTCAGGTCTTCCCTTCTCAAGGGTTCTTCCCTCTAGGTGGGCTCTGATGACCAGCCTAGCACTTTCTAAGACCAAGCCAGGGTGACTGCCATATCCACCTCGATGTCCTCCCTCTATCCAGGGACATCTGTAAACAGCAGGTAATGCCTCCTTTGCGATCTAGACCATCTCTGGCTTCCAGATTCCACCTGTTGCTCCCCATGTGGTCCCTCTGCCAGGTACTGATTTGAGTCACCAGGATATATAGGTCAGGTCTGTTCCTGGAAGCCAACTCACCGAATTGTAGACCCAAAGGGTGGCCTCTCGAGGCATCCTGGTCTCTTCAGGATTCTTAGCACAGAAAACTGGGAGGCTGGTCAGGAGCCCTTTCTCCCCATCAGCTGTAATTCTAGCCCTGGCCACAGCTTACCCAGCCGCTTCCACCTGACCACCCACCTGACCCTTACATGAGCAACGCAAAGTCTTTGAAGCATTTACTTAGCTCAAGTCTGAAGCTTGAGGACATTTAGCCACGCATTATGGAGAGGGCGGAAGACAGTGGACAGCTCCTACAGGACTGATGACCCTCACTGGCTTGAAGGGGCGCAGGACCAGGCATCCCTCATCCCAGGTGTGGGCGGGCGGCTGCACTCTAGGCCGGTGCGGAGGGCTGGCTGGAGGCTCCAGTGGCCTTCAGACAAGGACTTGCACATCCAGCTGCACCTTTCACGAAGCCTTTAGGTGGCGGGTGGGCGTGGGCTGGAGCGTAGCTCAGCCTTGGCTACCAGATGCGACACCGCTTCCTGGGGTGCATGGGGCTGCCTCGTGGGCAGTGGAATGCCTCAGAGAAGGCGGCCAGGTTCTGTAGTGAGCCCAGTACCCTGTGGACCAGCAAGTCCAAGGAGGTTTGAGATGAGGGAAGGGGTCAGGGCAGGGGCGGGCATGCGTGCTTGCTTGGGGACCGTACACTTGCCTGTACTTAAGAGGACTGTGGACATCCGTCTTGATGGATTGGATGGCAAACTCAGGCCTGTAGGACCCGCACCACACCTAGAGGGGCATGAATGGCTTGGTTACGGCCTGCGGGCTGGAGCACTGCGCTCTGATTAGAGAGACCAACAGATTCCTTCCTTCCTTCCGTACCTGCTGCCTCCTCCCCAGCTGGCCCCCAGTCCTCTCGGAAGCCTGCCAAGCCTACTGGCTCTGGTTTTGGAGTGTGGCAAGCTCCTGGTGCCCTTGGATGTCCCCTAGAGTGGGCCCTCCAAAGCTGTGGGTGTGAGGAGCAGGACTAGAAGTTACCTGGGCATAGTTGACAAAGAAAAGCTGGGCATAGGTCAGGTTCAATCCCGGCAGTTTCTGATCCTTGCCACCTTCAGACAACCACTGTAGGTAAGCCTGCAAGTACCAAATTGGTCCAGCCAGGCTCTTGGAGAGCCCCATGTGGAATAATCTGGTTCCAGGACCTTCCCTGGATGGAAACCTGCCTCCTTAGCTTAGGGCTGCTGTGTATAGGCCAGATAATTCTTCTGCAGCCCTCAAAAGACTGATCCGACAGAACTCTGTGGGACCCTTAGCCATATAGCTGCCACCTGAAATCCACCCATCTGGGCTCCTGGTACCCGGTGTTCTATTCCCAAGGCTGGAGATGTGGGCTGCTCAAGCCCATGGCCATGTTGTGTCTGCCCTAAATACTCTTTAGGAGACAAAAAGGGTTCCTACACTTGCTCATCGGGTGAGATATCAGGTTTACAACCATGGGGTTTGGATTTCTGCTTCTTCCCCAGTCCAATTGGGGTGTTTTTAGGACACAGCCCTAATTTGGGCATTGCCCTGCCATGCTGCGACTGCCTCAACTCTCTCTGAGGGCTTTGCCAGGGCTCACCTTGTATGCCTGTCGTACCCCACCATTGTCAGCGATGTTCTCCCCGAGGGTGCTGAATCCGTTCACCTGCACGAAAGAGACAGAATGAGGTGGGGGGGGGGGGAGCCTGGCCTTGGCCCTCCTCCTGTCCCGCGGGGCTGGCTGGGGTGCATGCAGGTGTAGGGCCGCTGCAGTCCTGGTGACATGCTTACGTTCTGGTTGCCAGCCAGTTCCCAGGAAAAGTTGCTGTACTGATAGACCATGCACTCCGACTGTTTGCGGAAGTGCTGGGCTGAGAAGTTACTCCACCAATCCAGCATGTTGCCATTCTTGTCGAAGTTCCGACCTGGGTGGCAGCAGAGGATGCACACACTGTCCCCCAAGGCCCCGCTCTTACTGCCCTCCTGCACCCCTCTCCAAAGGCCAGGCCAGTGCTAGATTCCAGGGGTTCTGAGCACACAGCACCATGTTGAGGGCTGCTCAGGAGAGCTTCCACGCCATCCTTCCCATCCTTGCCCCTGACTAGGACCAGGAGTCTCAAATTCAGGGGTCTAAACCCAGGTAAGGGGGGCCACATGGCTAACCTCATATGATACCCCTGGCCGAGCCATATGGGAAAACCAGCTCAGACATCACAGGTGGTGTCAGGCTCTAACAGTCAAACAGGGAAGCTGCTCCAGGGATGGAGACCAGGCAAAGCCCCTGTCTAACTAATCTACTGAGAGATTTAATGGATGATCCCTGGCCGCTCAGTAGAGGGGTGTGCGTGCGTGTGCGTGTGACTTACAGGTGTATTTGTGACTGGGGCACTCCCCTATGCCCCTTTACCATTGTCGTCAAAGCCGTGTGTAATCTCATGCCCGATCACCATCCCGATGCCCCCGAAGTTCAAGGCCTGTGGTTGGTCCTTGCTGAAGAAGGGTGGCTGGAGAATACCGGCAGGAAACACTGTCCCAGAAGGGTGACAAGGAGAAGCTGTGAGTGACGGTGCCAGGCTCAGGTGGGCACCTCTACTGGGCCTGCCATCTAATGCTGTGGCCTAGGGAGGTTAGGACTCTCTGCCCAGTGTGCAGACAGGGACAATGAGCTCGGAGACTAAAACGGGAATGCTGGATTGGCGATCCGTGCCCAGTTTCCTCCCGCCCACCGCTGCCTTCTTAAAAACGTTCTCTGATGGTTCCTCTGTGTTCCTTCCAACCTGTGACCCTTGGGACAACATGAAAGAGACTGGAACCCACTCTCCTTCCTGAGGTTAGACTGGGAGTTTCTAAGCAAGGGCAGGGCCTGTCCTCTGGCTCTAGAGAGGTGAGATGGGCTTACCAATCTGGTTTCTGTTTGGGGAGTAGAAGGCATTGACCACTGCAGCCCCGATGATCCAGCTGTGGTGAATATACTGGTCATTTGGAGTCCACATCTGCCAGGACCCTCCCTATGGGCCCCTCTGCCCTGGCTGGCCAGATCCTGCCCTGAAGAACCCCCAAAGCTGAGGAGGGGGAGGGCTTAGGTCTAGTGTCCTCTTGAGCTGGCATCAAGGCCAGACTCCTGTAGCCACCCCTGCATGCCAGGCTAAGCCTCCTAGTCATTCCACTCACAGGTTGTGGTCCACTTTTTCCCGAAGCTTCTTGAGGCTCTGCTGGGCACTGGCCTTGAGGTTCTGAAGCCCATTCTCGAAATACAGGTCCTCTGAGAATATCAGCTATGAGGAGAACAGAGCTTGACATGACTGGCACTCAGGCTAAGTCCCCAAGAGTGTAAGAGGAAGGGCTGAAGGTTGAGGAAGGGTCTCTAGACCCTCAGCTGGCATGTGGCCCTCAGGCTCCTGGAGCAGCTAAGGACAAAGTTTATTTCCCTGGGCCTCAGTTTCTCTGTCTGTTAGCAGAGTGAGATTAGAGTCCCTCTAGGGTGTAGAAGTGTGTCTAAGTGAGCAACTGTAAGAACAGAAGGATGCCTGGCATGGAGAACCCACTCTCCAGGGGTTCAGGGCGGGGGGTGGGGCCAGGCACAGTGCCCAAGGGTACACACGTTGGAGTATTCCTCATCCAGGTGCCTATTGCTTTCTTCCAAGATATAGTCAGGGTAGCCGATCTGTTCCCGGATGTTCATGGCCTGCACAGAGGAGGGGCAGCTAGGGTCATCCACCATGGGAGGTCCCTTGTCCTACATGCTAGCTTTGTTCCCTGCTGTGTCAGTAAGGGGATAACAGGCATTTTCCCTCTATCAGCTTGCAGAACCAGACACGTCGGTGGGGCTCTGTGTGGGTGCTTGGGAGTCCAGTGACCGTGGCTTGTCACCAGAGCTAGAGGAGCCTGGGTAGATCCTAGCCCCAGACCATGGAGCCTCCTGTTTCCTGGGGATTTCCTGGGCACTTCCCTCCCACCAGGGCTGTTTCTCCAGCATGGGGTCCTGACAGCGGGAGCTTTCCCTCAGGTCTTCACACAGGTTGTAGCTCACCTACCTTTTCCTGAGCCTTCCTCTTAGATTCCTCGTCCATCCAGTTCAGCTCATCCAGGGTATCCACAAACACGGATCTTACCTTGTCAATCAGCTCTTTGACCTGGGGGAATGCATATCCTCATGTCCTGGGCTGGCTTAGGGGGCGTGACCAGAACTCCAGGCTTGGTCTCACCTTTAGGGTGAGACCACTGTTGCTCTGTCCCTGACTTCCTAGAGGGGTGTGGCATTGATAGGGGGTAACTATTCTGGCTCAGAATTGGAGCCTCACAGGTGGGTTGGAGGTTTGCTTGCCCAGGGCTCAGAACCCACACATACAATCTGTGCCTTTCCCAGGGACCTAACAGGGTCCAGGACTGGAGTTCATGGTCACGAGCAGCTGGGGGCAGGGTTTCTCTTGGCCTTCCTCTGCTCTGGTGGGCACTGGGATTAATGCATGTCCTCTGCCACACATGGGAGTCACTGGGTAGGGTGGTGGTGATGGGGCTGGTATCCTTGCCAGGAAGCTGTCCCAGGGTGAGCTTGAGAGCTGCCACGGACAGTGCCCTTTTGCAGTCCAGGTTACACACCATGTCCTTGCTGTCCTTGGAGAAGGCCTCCTTGATGTAGAGGGAGCCCACGGCGCTCTCCATGTTACTGTTAACATAGCTGACACACTCCCGCCAGCGCACCTCCTCCACGGTTGTGCCATACAGCGCCTGGCATGTTTATTCATTCAGTCACTCACGCATCCTATCCCACGTGCCAATGTTTAACTTTCCCCGGTCATATGTGGGTCCCTGAGCTTGTGAGGTGAGGCAGGCAGATCCTCCCACCATAGGCTTCAGGGTATCCAGAGGATGACTCAGACCGGATGCTGACTGTGGACATGAGAAGACCACTACTCTGGAAAAGCTAGGGTCCCACTCAGACCCTCACCCCCTGGACCTGGTGGTTTGCCTGGACACTACTCAAAGCTTCTCCTCATCTCTTCGTGTCTTGAGAGTCAAACTGACCTCTGTTGAGCATCTCCCTACCCTGCCTGGTCCCTCCTCTGGTCACACTTAGTTTTTGACAGCCCCGTCTTCTGCTTTGTTGGCTTCTATTGGGCAGGAGCCTTTTCTCAGACCCCGGTGATGACAGTGCACGCACGGCTCGGTGGGCAAAGGACACACTCACCTTGAGGTAGCTCACTCTCGCTTCTTTGAATCTCTGGCTCAGGCTGCTGATGCGATCCAGCACCAGGCGCCAGATCAAGTAGTTCTGCATGGTCCTGGAAGAAGCAGAGGTGTAAGGGGACAGGTGAGCCAGCAGGTGCTACACCAAGCAGAGTTCAAGATTCTCTTAAGAACTGGCTTGTTCATCCCTCATGCTTGATAGGATTCCTGTCGCCAGCGTGAGGCACCATGGGCACCAGAATCGAACCTCTGTATCCCTCACGTCTGAGAAGTTCTTGGTGGTATCCTCTCCTGAAAGCAGGAACTGTGTGTGTGTGTGTGTGTGTGTGTTGTGGGGCAGGCACAAGGTTCCCCTTCCCGGCCTCACCGTGCTGAGTAGATGTCAATGATGGACTCAAGGTTCTGCAGGTAGGGGATACCGTAGACCACCACCTCCTCATCCGGTAACAGTTCGATTTGGACAGAGGACAGCACACTTTGTATGAAGAGGGTCCAGTTAAACCCCTGGAGAGAGAGAGAGGTGGGGAGAAAGAAGGGAGGGTGGACCTTTGTGCATCTGAGAAACTCAGCTTCCACCGAAGAACATTTGAGAAACAGGTGAGAAAGGGCTGTTAAGAATCAAGACAAAGAGTGACATTTCCCAAGAGCCTGTGGGCTATGAGATTGCTAAGAACCTATGCAGAATATTTGAAAATGAAGTGTAGTTGGGGAGATTACTGGGCAGACACGATTTAGCAAAAATGATCAAAGTAGAAAATACGATGGTCGTATATGTTACATAAGCTGGGTAGGTATCTATTTTGTGTACAACCTTTTTAGTATTTATGTGAAAATTAACGTAAGCCTCATGCATGCAAGGGCCGTGCGCTACCATTAAAGTCTCCTAGCCCCATAGTCATGTTTGCTCTCAGTGAATCGGCCACACTGCTGAGATTAGTGGTGTACTTTAACTATTTTTTTTTGTTGTTTGTTTTTTTCGAGACAGGGTTTCTCTGTGGTTTTGGAGCCTGTCCTGGAACTAGCTCTTGTAGACCAGGCTGGTCTCGAACTCACAGAGATCCGCCTGCCTCTGCCTCCCGAGTGCTGGGATTAAAGGCGTGCGCCACCACCGCCCAGCACTTTAACTATTTTGAAAAAAAAAAAATCTTGAGACACAGTCTCTAATCAGGCTGGCCTTGAACTTCTTTATGTAGCTGACAATGTGCTCTCTCTCTCGCTCTCTCTTTGTGTGTGTGTGTTTTCCAAGAGAGGGTTTCTCTGTGTAGCCCTGACTGTGCTGGAACTCATTCTGTAGGCCAGGCTGTCCTCAAACTCAGAGATCTGCCTGAATCTGCCTCCTGAGTGTTGGGATTAAAGGCGTGCACCACCAGGCCGGGCTTGAATTTACTGCTTAATTAAATATTTATTTTAACTTTTCTGATGTGTGGTGGTGGTGTGGGTGGGTGTGGGTGTGTCTGTGGTACCCACTGAAGCCAGAAGAGAGGCACCGAATTCCTGGAGCTTCTGCCTACTGTGGGTGCTGGGGACTGAACTCTGGTCCTCTGAAAGTGCAGATTCTTAGTTGCTGAGCCGTCTCTCCAGCCCTGACCTTCAAATCTAGGGGCCTGGCAGCATGTAGAACACAAGCTGGAACCGGGGCTCTCTCGGGGTTTGCTTGTCTTATCCTTGTGCAGAGCTATGGATTCCAGTGTTTATTTATATGTTCTAGTCGGGAGGAAGAGGCCGCAGGCCCAGTCACCTACTTTTGTAGCAGCTGCACCCTAACCTACAGAGGAGGCCTGTGGCAGGGCAACAATGGATGTCCCCCTAGAAGGTTTTCACTGTGCTCATTTAAAGGCATTATCAGCCTGGATGTCAGCCCTATGGTCCCTTTAATGTCGGAGTAACTTTGCAGGCGGGGGGAGGGGGGATGAGTATCCAGGTGGGTTGGGGCTGAGCCCCTGCTACTTCCTGGTTGGTGCCTGGGTCTTACCTTCAGACCAAACCTGTCCTGCAGCTCCACCAGGTCCATCCTGTGGTACAGGGTGGTGACATCATGCCTTTCCTCCTGGGGGACTGTGGCCTGCGTGGGGACCAGGGGTCACACCGCGTGGCACTCAGCACCTAGCCCGAGCCTCCCAGCGTGGCCCTGCCTCACATTGGCCAGATGTGCCTCCAGCGCCAGCACCTGCGCCATTTCCTTCTCCACCAGAGAGTTGTCATTGGGCAGGTTCATATCTTTCCTCAGCATGGTGGCCACTGATACCATGAACTGCAGGTAGGCTTCCCGCACCTGGGCCAAAGGACGATGGATGGAGCTGGGCGGCTTTGGCCACCTTGGCCACCATGGAGCACTCTGTGGGGTGGGGGTGGTATGTGACGTGGAGTGGCCCCTAGAAACTTGCCCCTCTAGCTTCCCCAACAGGTTCTGGCACAGGCAGCCCAGAATAGAACGTGGAGACTATCCATACCACACCCCGCTATGACTGCTGTCTCCATCCCACTCTCTAGGGACAAGCCTGCAAGACAGCCTCTGTATTCTGTAGTCTGGGTCCTCTCCCTGAGCTTGGTGCGGAGTCACAAGGCTCTGGCCATGCCAGACAGCTCAGGACCAAGTTCTAGTCCCAACCCCATTGCTCTGAAAGACCCGTGCACAGGCCTCTGAGGGTGGGGACAGTTTTTCAGGGCTGCCCGGTGCCACGCTGGCCTCCACAGGTGCTCAGTAACTCTTTAGCCATTGGAGCCAGGGTGAGGTAGGACTGCCCCAGCCGTGATTCAGCCATGGGGTGTGTTATGTTTGTCCAATTCAGTTGGACATCCTTTCTTGTGTCTATCCTTGAAGGGGCTTTCCTCACTCTAGCTGAGGCTTCAGACTGCCCCATCCACCGAGACCTTGCTCTGCCAGCTGCTAAGTGGGACTGGGGGCCACACCTGTGAGCTTTTGGGGATGATCCGGGTCCTGATTTCCTGTCTCCTGCTACCATCCTTCTTTCTCGATCCACCCACGTGCCCACTAATACTTCCAGCCCCTGCTGTGAGGGTCATTCCTACCCGGTTCCTGGCCAGATGCCTTTGCTGTCCCTGCCTTCTTTCTGTCCATCCCAACTCTTCCTGCTACCCTGGCCTTCCTGGGCTACAGCTGACTTCTCTCCGCAGAGCAGGCTCAGGACACTGGGCCTGGCTCTGCACGGATAAGTCAAGCCGAACAGACTGCTTGACCAGATGAGCTCACTCACCTCAGGGCCGGCAGTGTGAACACTGGGTGTCCATGTTTGTATCCCCAGTGCTCAGTGCCTGTCCACAGCCCCACAAGTGCTTCCAGAGGCTGGTTGTGGGGAGCAAGGCTAGTGGACAAGCAGGAGAGCCGATCTCTGGGGGAGGGGGGACAGTATATGTGCAGGGAACTGCACCTGACATGGGCCCCAAGGCTCCCTGCTTACCTTGTGACTATTGCCTTCGTTGAAATAGTACTCCCGGGATGGCATGCCCAAGGTGGGCTGATCTATCTGGAAACACAGAGTGTGTGACTGCTCACGGGTGGTGGGGAATCCCTGCAGCCTGGCTGAGAGGGGCAGCAATCCCCTGCCCCCAGACTGTGTCTGGTAACAACACTGGCTCCCTGTGCGAGTCAGATGCTTCCGAACCCAAGCCTCTCCTTGATAGAGAGGGGCTGTTTGGGGTTCAAGTCCCCACAGGAGGGACTTGCACCACAGCCTTCCCGAAGTGGCATCTGTGCGCTTCTCGGACCCTCCAGCCAGGGGCCAAAAAAACAGGGTAAGCACAGGGCCAGCTTCTCAGAACACAGCAGGGGCCACGAGGTCCCCTGTGAGCCCTGCTTAACACAGCATACACTGCACACCAAGCTGTGGACAGAGGACACAAACATCGGGCTCCCAGATCCCCCCAGCCACCACCCTGTCTATCTCCGGCTCTCCTGCAAACCCAGAGTTAGACTCAGGGAACCCGATCCCCACCCTACCCACTGAGGGTATTGCGTACATAGATAACATGCCGGCTGGAGTTCTGGTCGTCATTCCAGATGAAGAGGTCAATGAGGACGCGCCTGTTGAACTGTGAGTTCAGCACAGCCAGCTGCCGTTCCAGCTCCCACTTGGGGCCTGAGGAGTCAGTACCCATGCTGGAGACCAGCTAGCTCCTCTCCAGACAGGGAACTGTAGGTCCTGAGCACAGCATTCTGGGAGTATAGCGAGCCCTGCCAGGCTCGGGTAGTGAACTCATTGTGAGACTTTGGGGACCAAGGAACGATTCCCCAAAGGGGCTTAGGGACTGTTCTTCAAAGGTCCACAGGGAAAGAGTGGCTGTGGATGGGAGATGCCCTATTCCAGGCATCATCCCTGCCCCTGAGTCAGAAGTGGGCCACAGTCTGAGGTCTGAACAGGGATATGAAGACTGGCGTCTTGGATAATAGGAGGGATGATCCAGTACAGCGCTTCAGGGGACCAGCCATTGTGAGGACCCATCACAGATCCCACTGACTCCCTAGTGTGGAGCCTAAGCCAGATTTGGGGGCTGTAAGTTATCTCTGGGAGGAATGAGCCTCTTGGGGCTTCCCTAAGAGCAGGCAACCTGTGGGCAGCTGTGGGGTTGAGCAGCCTGTCCCCGAAGTTGGCAAACTTGCCTATACTTACCCACCATCTCACTCCACTTGTCCATGGCCACAGGCCAGCCTCCTACCACATCTAAGATGTCCAGCAGAGGCTGAGAGTCTCTCTTCTCTATCACACCTGAGGAGGGAAGGAGTGGGTGCTTACGCAGACTCCAGTGGCCACAGCACCCGCCAGGAACATGCCTGCTGCTCCACGGCTAAGCTTTAGCTCGGGGCTTGCTGATAATGCACACAGAGGATGGAATTTGGCAGCAGGTGACAAGCCTAGGGAAGAGTGGTGGCCAGGAGGGAGGCCCAGACACAGGATGTGCTTGGGCAAGAGTCGGGTCACACAGGGGTCTTGTGACTTGCTTCTGTACACGATGGCAGTCTAAAGGCGTGGGCTGAAGCCCAGAGATGCTTCCCTCGAAGGAAGTGCTTCTCTGACAGGGTACTTGGGAGAACTTCAGGCAAGGACTAGTGCAGAGGACATAACCCAGAGGTCACTATAAATACAAGGGCAGGCCTTTGGATGACAGGGCAGGACTCCAGAGCTGGTAACGAGAAGGGGCTGATGTCTACTGTCCCAACATGTGGCAGGGCTGAGGGGCCACAGGGAAAGGACGATGGTTCAGTGGTAAGGGAGGCACCAGATGAGTCTGATGGAGGACGCTAGCCTTGAGATGCCATGGGTGTGTGAAAAGAGGAGGCCTCCCATGGGTTTGGACAGTGGCCTCTCTGGCTTTCTCTGCTTGGGCTTCATTTGGAAGTAGGGACAAAGTTAGAGAAACCAGTAGTTATAAATGAAGTCCTGGTTGCTTGGGTCAAAGCGAGCAGGATTCTGTGCAGCTGCTGGGCTGCTACTGTGGTTGGTGGGCTGGAAGCTGAGGAAGGGGCTCGGGGTTCTGTTCACATACTGCTGCCATCCTGCCTTGGGCACCCAGCCCTTGAGGCAAGAAATTCAGTAAATGTGAGAATCTAAAGGAAGTTGTCTGTGACTAGTGGGTATCGGTCACATGGTTTGTGGAGATAAGATAGCCCTGGCCATGCCCAAGTACAGGTTCCAATGGAGATAATCTCATAAAATCACAGTCCCACTAAGTAGCCTTGTTGGTACACAGGGATCAACCCCAAACCTTTAGGAGATGTCCAGGGAAGACAGGTGGCCCCAACTTGCAGCTCAGCTGGCCAGAGTGGTACCTTCGGGTAATGTAACTACAGGCTAGGGTTATACAGCTCCAAACCCAGGGTAGCTGGTAATGAGCTAGGCCAGGTGAGGCACAGCACACAGCTCCTTCTCATGTACCCTGCATGATGTTCACTCCCGCCCCGAGATACTTCCGTGTGTAGTGTACCATTAGCGCTAACTGGGCCCTAACAGGTGGCTCGACTCACTTTCGTTCATGCAGGAGCGGTACAGTGTCTTGGCCTTCTCCACAGCCGGCCGGTCCTTGAGAGAGGAGTCCTCCAGCACCCCTGTGGGCAGAGGAGAAAGCTTCACAGAGGTGGAGGTGGCTGCTGGGGCCCCAGGACAACTGATGTCTACGGTCTAGCCCCGGGCTAGCATCATCAAGCTGCCCTGAGACTCAGACAGTCACAGGCCACTCCAACTCTGACTCTGATACTTCGCTGTCAGGCAGGGACCGACCCAAGGCTCAGTGAGACTTCTATGCCCCTAGGTGGTGGCTACTCTTCACCTTTAAGGATCACCTCCAGCTCGTCCCGGAGAATGTCAAAGACGCTGTATCGGGAGTTGGTCTCGGGAATCACGTGACGCCGCAGCCAGCCTCCGCAGGCATACTGGTAGAAGTTGTCACAGGGCTCCTGTGAGTTGTCCATGTTCTGGAGGATTCTGGCAGCTGTTTATCCAGAGGGGGTGGAGAGAGGAGCGGGAAGAGGAGACCCTGAGATGTGGACATCTTGATATTATCTCAGAGTCTGAGAGACAGTATCTCTCCCTTTGGGGACAGTTTGTCCCAGATTTAATATCAACTATTAACTTGGTGGCAGCTGCTAACTTGCCCTTGGGCAAGTCAGTCACTCTCCCTGAGTCAGAGGGAGGCTAGTGACATTGGGAGAATGACCCAAGTGTCTTCAAGGGCTACAGCAGCCACTTATAAGCTACAGGATCTTGAATACCCCTGTCTTCTCCCTCCTGCTGGCGACCCTGCCTCCTGGCCTCCTCTCCATAGCCCTTCTGCCCCATGCAGTCCGAGTGACCTCTCAGTCCTCAGGTCCTCTGTCCTATGGGAGAGAAAAAGATCTCCCACCCTGTCTATTGCCTTGAGGTTTTTCTTTATCACAGGGGCAGCTGTGTCCATCCTAGGATCCAGAGCATGTTGGTGACAGGGGCCTGAGCTATGGGCTCACTGGCTCTGCTCACTCTGCCTGGGAACCGCCTGGTCTGGGGCTTTTGTAGCGGGAGATTTCAAAGGAAGCATCACTGTGGGGCTCCAGGACGCACTCAGACAAAACAACCTATTCCACCCTCACCCCACAAAGCTTCGTTTTCCCTCCTGCAGAGGGCAGTCTGTGGCACCCAATTTTAAGACAACATCTTGGTAGAAAATTTGAAATAAAAAAAATATCCTTTGATTTGACTTTGTTTTCTATAAACATAGATGAGGGCTCTTGCATGGGAGGCCTGCAGGTGGGAGCCGACCCCAGCCCACAGGGCTGCTCAGCTCGGCTCCAGGCAGCTAGGGGAGGGGCTCACCTGCAATCACACAGCCTGGGGTGACGCAGACGACGTCATTCTGCTGTGATGGCTCTCTGATGGCTGGAGGAGCAGAGGGAGGAACGTGAGGTGCGGAGCATCGGATGAGCTGGTACAGACGCTTGGCTGCACAGCTTGCAGGCCTTGGTGAGAGGACCAAGGCCTGGGAGGGCTTGGTGAAGCACAAGCTGGGGTGGACATGGCAGGGTAGACAGGGTAGGCCTCCATTCTCCCCCACCTTCCATGGACACCCCCAGGAGAGCTCTGAAGCATATCACTGGTCCCCAGTTGGATCCCAAGTGTGACTTTTCCTTACAGCAGTGACCTGGGATCCCCTTTAAATTCTCTGCCTCCGCTGACCCCTATTGGGACCCAGCACCTTCAGAGCTGAGGCTGCTCATAACTACCCTGCTGTCCCACCAGCTCTAACGGACTGCATTTTCCCACCCTCTCCTTACCCTGGAGTCAGTACACCCAAAGGTGACACCAGGCTGGCCTCTTGGGTGGTACCCAGCTGTGCCCAAACATTCTACATACAACAGGCACTGGAGATTGGTGTCCCTCTCTTCCCTGTCCCCTCCTGGACTCTCTGCCCATCTAAATTACCCGCGGCAGGCCCAGATGCCAAGCCCACCTCCTCAGGGCTGCCTGGCAGGGAAGGCAAAGGCTACCTCGTTTTACAATCGTCTTCTCTTCCTGGGAGAAGCGTAGTCGGCTAGTTAAGAGGGGCAGCTGCTTCCCTGGGGAGAAACACAGGGCTCAGCCTTCTCCATTAGCCCCCCGGTGGAGCCTTGGGGATCTGGTTATGTCAGCGCAGGTATCTGTATACAGTGCTGTGGGCTCTAGTGCTCACCACACAGTGAAGGCTGGCTTCCAGGGAACTGAGACAGGGGGACTATGCAGCTTAGGCATCCTTTCCTCTATCCTCTTTCTTCTCCTCATAGGTCCTGCTAGGTTTGAATGGGAAAGGAAAGGTCCCTTATCTTGCTATTCCTATCTTCTAGTCCATCTGGAACTACCCAGGCTCTGCCTGTCTTCCTGGACTGCACTTAGAGAAGGCTGCTCTTGCTGTCTTACCGCAGGAAGAGGCTAATTTGGGAGATCAGGCCTTTGTAGGGAGCCCTGTCATGGCAGCCTTCACCGCCCCTCCCCCAGAACTACTTTCACTGCCTGCTGAAGGTTTAAGGCTACCCTCCTTGTCCTTGTCTCTCCAATACATGTGGGGAGGGAAGCTGCTTAGCATGGAAGCCTTCAGGACCTGGAGTGAGGTTTGGGAGAAAGCAAGTCAGGCCTGGCCATCTTCAGGCCTGGTGTGTGGTGTTGAGGCTCCCCATAGTCAGATACACAGACGGTGGGGGAGGAGGGTTTAGGGGTGTATCTGCTTGGTTCCCGGCATAGTCAGCACAGACGGTGTTGGAGGTGCCAACAATGGGTGCTCCTTAGGACTAGGCAGTGTAGAAGGCCATTTGTTCTACACATGAGGGTGCTACGAGCCAGACCCGACGTGGCTATGATGCCGGTGTGGGTTCTATCCCTGAAGAGCCCTACCCTTTCATCCCCAATCTGAAGGAGCCATTGAGGGACAACTTTCAAGGGGCAACCTGAGATCCGGGGACAAGAACGTTGACTCCTCAGCTCTTCAAGGGAAGGGGTAAGATCCCTGAGCTTTGGCTGCCCTGTGGGGGTGTGCCCATCTCAGGAGCAGAGTCTGAAGGTGAGACACTGAATCTTGGATCTCATGGAGTCACACCACACCTCCAGCGAGAGGACGTGTGACCAGGAGGACCGTGAACCTGCTGGCTCAGCACACCTTTGAAGCCACCACAGGTGAGCTTAGGACGTCTCAAGGAAGATAAGGACACAGAGGCACAAAAGAACGGGATTCTAGCCGGGCGGTGGTGGCGGCACACACTTTAATCCTAGCCCTTGGGAGGCAGAGGCAGGCAGGCAGGTCAGCCTAGTCAACAGAGAAAGTTCTAGGACAGCCAGGGCAGTTACACAGAGAAACCTTGTCTTGAAAAACAAAACAAAAACAAACATAAAGAACAGAATTCTAGACATGAGTCCTTTCCTTCCCACAGAAGAGTGACCAGGCCAGAGTCCAGGAAGGGAGGCCGTGCTGCAAGGCCAATCCCAAGTATGCTTCCACCCACAGAATGTTGGGTACACCCGGGTGGGCTGCTGTGGGAATCAGGGTCTCGGGGAGTCCCTGATGCAGAGGGTGTATGTTCCCATCTATTCTTGCTCACATAGCCTTCAAGGGGTTTGAGGTTATGTCCACTGACAGAGAGGAGAGCCGAGAAGAACCTTCCACTTCTAGCCCCCAGGGAAGCAGCTAAATATTGTTGACAATGAAGAAGGAACCTTGGGAATCAGGACGTGGCTCAGCTGGTAGAATGCTTGCCTAGCAATGCACAGAGCCCTGGGTTCCATCCCAAGCACCACATGAACCACACGTGGCATTTAGGAGGTAGATTTAGGAATTTAATGTCATATAGTTAGTTTGTGGCCAGACCCCAGAGCTACATGAAACTCAAATCATTGCTAGGTGTGGTGGCATACACCTCTAATCCTAGCAGTTGGGAGGCAGGGGTAGGGGCATATGAGTTCCTGGACAGCCTGGGACCCTGTCTCAAAACAAACCAAACACATACAAACAAGCAAACAACAGCAACCACCCCTTCACAAAAAATAAAAAACAAACAAACAAACAAAAAACCCAAAGAAGTCTGGAGAGATGTCTCCTCAGAGATTAAGAGCACTGGCTGCTCTTCCAGAGGTCCTGAGTTCAACTCCCAGCGACCAAATGGTGGCTCACAACCACCTGTAAAGAGATCTGGTGCCCTCTTCTGGTGTGCAGGCATACATGCAGGCAGAACACTGTATACATAATAAATAAATATTTAAAAAACAAACAAAACAAAAGGAAACCCCAAACCCTAACTAAGACAAATAAAGAAACCAAGAGGGAACCCCAAATGATCAAAAGGAGTGGACTCTGGGGTGACCCCACTGTTAGTAGTGGCAGTCTGTGCAATGGCTGTGGTCACTAAACTAAAGAGTCTATCAGGAGAGGTGGGAAGCTTACAGATAGGCCCTGTGCTTCACCGGGCAAGTGGAAGCCACAGAAAAGAGCAGGATGGAAATGTTGGAAGAGAAGTGACGTCACTGAGAGTGTTGGGGATACTCAGGACCACTCAGGAGACGGACGGAGGATTAGGAGTTCAAGGCTAGTCTCTCTACAGAACCAGTTTAAGGGTACATGAGACCCTGTCTCAAAAAAAAAAAATGTAAGGAAACCACGTCCCAGATGTGATGGTCATTGAACCCCACAAAGGAAGTATTAGTTTCAGGACATGCCAGTCAGCAAGACTTTTCAAACCAAACCAAACCACGAAGGCAAGGGAAGTAAATCAATAAATAGAGGGAACAGTTACCCAAGCTTAGAGCGAGTCAAGTATGGTAATCTCAAGAGTTCAGGAAACAGAGACAGAAAGATTGCAAGCTCAGGGCTGGCCTGGGCTACAATAGTGAGACCTGACCTCAGAAGAGATGGAAACAACACGAGAATCTCTGGGCTAACACCACAGGTAACAAATGACTCGAGCGAATGGGATTCCAGGAAGATCAAATTCCCTAGACGTCCCCTGGTGTTTGTTTAGGCAATGTCTATGGTATGCCAAGGCCAATAAACAGCTTTGAGAGTTGTTGGCTCGGCGGACAAGCATTTGCCAAGCAATTGTGAGAACTGGAGTTCCTCAGCACCCAAGTAAAGACCAGTAGGTGATGTGGAAGTCCCCTCTGATTGCTGTGAATAGGTTTTATTACCATTGGTTAATAAAGAAGCTGTTTTGGTCCTGTGGCAGCACAGACTAGAGCAAGGTGGGAATTCCAAGCAGAGATGGAGGAGAAATGAAGGTGGAGTCGAGGAGACACCATGTAGCCGCCAAGGGAGAGAGACACCTGGGAACCTTACCAGAAAACCACAAGCCTCGTGGCAAAATACAAAATAATAGAAATGGGTTAATTTAAGGTGTAAAAGTGAGCTAACGAGAAGTATGAGATAATAAGCCAAACAGTGTTTTAATTAATATAATTTCTGTGTGATTATTTTGGGTCTGGGAGGCTGGGAAACAAGCAAGCAGCCTCTGTCTACAAGTAGGTGGCCCACCTACACTCCCGGTGCTTTCTAGGTGGAGACATGGGGTCTCTGAGGCAAGCTGGCCAGCGAGATTAACTGAACCTCTTCCTCAACACATAAGGTTTAGAACAATCGAAGAAAACACCCAAATGTCCACCTTTATCCCCCCCAACACCTGCACACATATGTGTGCCCACACATATGCAAACATATATATGCGCACACATGCATGCCACACAAATACACAAAAAATAGTCTTCACAATCCCTCTGAAAGTTTATTTTCCTAAAATTTTGTTTAAAGAAATTTAAAATTCCTTGACTTCTAATCAAGTTTTTGTGTATATGGGTGTCTTTGTATGTGTGTCTGTACACTATGAGCATGCCCACAGAGACCAGAAGAGAGTGTTGGATCTCCTGGGTCTGAAGTCACAGCCGGCTGTGAGATGCTATTTGGATGTTGTGATTATGCGCCTGGGTCCCCCAGAAGAGCAGCCTGTGTTCTTAACCACTGAACCATCTCTCCCATCCCTAAGACTTTAATTTAAATAACCTGTGTTTCCCATCTCCTCAGTTTCTCTCTTAGGGAAACAACTACAGAGGGTCTGGGAAGACCAACTAGTCGGTAAAATGATTGCCGACATGTGAGGGACTGAGTTTAGAGCCTCAGCACTTGCAGAAGAAGCTGGGCTTGGTGGGGGCAGCTCCTTCTATCTAGCCAGCCTAGTTAATCAGTGACCTCCAGGTTCAGTGAGAGCCCAGTCTCAAGAGACTGCAGAGATGGCTCAGTGGTTAAAGCATGGACCACTCTTGCAGAGGACCCTGCTCTGGGGTCTCTGGCTCCTTCTTCTCAGCCTAAAGGGAAACTGCACTTGCGTGCACATGCCCCTACACAAACATACGTGCGTGTAAGGAGCTAAAAA